AAGTTTTACAGTAGGATTCAGATCTTTTACTCTATACCTTACCTTGCTATACACATACATATGATTTTTTTTCCCTTGCAGTATTTTCAGAGCTCTGAAACAGAAGTGTCAACACAGTGCTGTATTACAGAGAATCTATCATTAACTATACATATTATACCTTGAGCTGAGAAAAAGGGAAAAACTGATAATTTGTAAATTTTTTATTGATTTCTATATATTATTTAGTTTTTGTCTCTTTGCTCTTAGGTGTCCTCTTACCAGGAGATCAGTGGATCAACATCTATCTAATTACCTCTGGGTGACAGTTCTGTACTGAATGGCTTCATTTCCCCTTTCTTCTTTCTCTCAGGACTCACTGGTTTGGCAATGGCCTTTGGTAGTTGGTATCTAGCTGCAATTTTCAGTGGGTTTCCAGGTCATCTTGCTCATCTACACTATTTCCACTCCTTTTATTAATATTTCTTGCAAGTTCCTTTCTGTTTGCTCTTCAATGCTCTGCAGTCCTCCATGCCCTGTTTCACACTTCAGATTATCTATAATCTGAATACCACTGATGCTTCTTCATGGCTGCAAGCAGAAGTTCAGCATCAGGCACCAATATTTCTTTTATTCTTGGCAGGGTTTGTTTTTATATTCTGCTCTTTAGTTTGAGATAACAGAAAACCACAGCATTATAGAGATTTTTTAATATCTGTCTGATATGGGCCATTAATGTGGAGAACACCTTAATGGTGGTGTGTTTTGTGCTTTTGTTTTTAGAGCAGAAAATTTTCAGGCCTTTCAAGCATGCAGGCATTGGTCACCCAGGAGTCTAATCTTATTGCCTCAAAAAGTCTTTTAATTGTGACTCCTGGGGAAACTATCAGTGAAGGGCCACTGTCTCACTGAACCCCAGGATTAGGCTGCTGCCATGGGTGTTTTTGCCAGCAGGCTCTGGACCTTGTTGTTGCCAGGGAGCTGTTTGTGGTGGTATAGTCTCTAGGGTGCCAGTGAGTCTTAAGTGCCTGCCTTGGGGGAGGGGAACCAGGGCACTGCTTAAACCAGAGATTCTGGTTAATAATCCTTTAGAGGATTTCAAAGTAGTGTTTCTAATTAGCTTCTCATTAAGATGCCCCCTTGATTCTAGTAGGCCTCTTATCTATAGAACATTTAAACACCAACCCCTATCCCATTCGCAGCTGACCTCTTTTTTGAAAAGAAAATCCCTGTGCAAGACAATATGGTTCTTTTTTCCCCACTGTTTAATTTTTTGGTTTGGTTTTGGCTTATTTTGTTGTACTGGTGTCCTCAGAAAGTGAGTCCTATCCTGTCCTCCAGTGGTGTTTTCATTAGCATACGTTTTGCTTTTAAGTGGCAGAGTGCTAAAAATTAATACAGAAATTTAAAAGCAGATTTTTGGTACACAACATGGATTTTTTTTCAGATGTGTATGATGTCTTTTATGTAAAATGTTAGGAAACTGCTAGAATTGTAACATTATGTTAAAAAGAAAAGGGCACAAGAAATGTGAGGCAGAGGGGGGTATTCAGTCAAGCAGAGGGGTTTTTCACCTGACATGCTAATGCTGGGTGGGGTGAACTCTACAGAAAGTGATATGAGAACAGGTAGATTAAACAATAGAGGTAGGGGTCAACACTGTAAGGCAGGGGGCCACAGATGTACAAAGGCAGGCAAGCCTAGGCAGGGGCACTTAACCACTGAGCCCCATCCCCATTTCTTTTTATTTTTTATTCTGAGACAGGGTCTTGCTAAGTTGCTTAGGACCTCTGCCTCCAGACTCACTGGGATGGGGCCACCATGCCCGCCAGCTTTAGGTTTTTGACCTCACCTTGAAATGACATTCAGGGAGCTTTAAGTTTGTTTTTTAAAGAGGCTGTAATTCAGATTACTCAGTTATTATAGCATGTGTGTTTAGCACATATATTTTTAAAAATAACTAACCAGACACATACTGTGTAGTCATATTTATGTGAAATATCCCAAAATAAAGAAATCTACAGAGACATAAAGCTGGTAGATGGTTGCCAGGCACTATGGGAGAGGAATGGGTTTAAAAGTGGTTAATTTTGCTTGTGAATTTCACCCCAGTAAGAAAAGAAATAACCAGATAAAGATAATCTTTACATAATGTTTTTGTTAATGATCCATAACCATGACTTTGATTTAAGAGCAGCAATCTCTGGGGAATATGGGAAGGGAGGGGTAATGGGGAGAGAGTGATAAGTGGGCAATGAGTCGCAGTTAAGAGGGCAGGGAGTTCTGTTGTGCTCTTACACAGTAGGGTGACTGCAAATAGGAATTTTATGCCATGTGTTTGAAAAAGCTCAAGGAAAGAATTGTAAATCCTACCATAAGGAAGTGATGAATATTTGACGAGATAGATTAATTTAACTTGATTATACTCTATATATGTTTTAAAATATCACATAATAATCTCTTAACATACAATTATTGTGCTTTTTATGGATCAGTTAAAAATAAATTTAGGTTTTTTTGGGGGGCAATAAATATTGCAGAATTTCATTCAGAGGAAAATTACAGTTTAATAAAAGGAGAAGAAAACATTATTCAGTAGTTACGAGTGTTATTTTCCTAATGCTTTATCAAATTTCTCCCTGCAGATTAAAATTTATCTATGATCTATGATCTTTCAAATTATTTGTATATGACTTAAGATAAGCATTGCTTCTTTGAACTGGTACCCATAGCCTACAAGAATCAGAACTCTACCCCCAAGGTTGAATCCCGAGTTCAGACAGGGCTGTTCCTCACTGAACTGATGACGGCTGATGATTGGCAGGTGCGCTGTACTTGCAGTTTTGCCCTTATCCTGGGGCTTAGGATCCAGCTCAGTGGTAGAATACTTGCCTTGCCTAGCCTAGCATGTGTAAGGCCCTGTGTTCCATTCCCAGCCCCCACCTGCCCCAAAATCTGATCCCTTTTTATATACATCTAATGGTTGAAAGAAGAATATTTGGGGGGCTGGAGATACAGCTCAGTTGATGGAGTGCTTGCCTTACATGCACAAGGCCCTAGGTTCAGTCCCCAGCACGACTTAAAAAAAAAAGAAAGAAAAGAATATTTCACATATTTTCATCTGTAGTCTTGGGGTGGAAGGGCAAAGTATGCATAAATTAAAAGTATGGTCATTATAGATACTTTTTTTTTTTTTCGACTTGGTAACTCTGGGTTAATATGTTCTCAGCTGTGTGAAAATGTTATCAAGAGTTGGAATATATAAGGATTTGGGAAAAGGGGGAGGTGGAGATTGTTGTTGGAAGGGATGGAACCTGCTTCACTGACATGTATTTAGGAGGCAGTGACGAGATGTAACCAGTCTGTTTAAAAGAATTGTCCTTGGGCTGGATTGTAACTCAGTGGTAGAGTGCTTTCTTAGCATGAGTGAGGCATTTTGGTTCAAAAGAAAAAGTCCTTGCCAAATGTCAGTAGCATCCCTGTTTTCAGAATTATCATCAATTTCACCTCTGGTTGTGGGATAATGATGATTTGGGAGGCTTATGGTTGTTATTTATTTCTACTGAGGTTCCTTATGAGCACACTGTTATGTGTGTGATTCAGATTTAATTTTTTTATTTAACTTCTCCTGTTCGTTCCCAATTTTGTCCTTATAAACTTAAAGGTAGGCTCAAATATTTTGAGTGATAAAAATGATGCCTAGAAGTCCACTACCTAGACAACATCACCCCCAAATTGAGTCAAATTGGGATCTAAAGTGGTTTTAAGAACCATAAACAAAATATATTGTTTAAAAATAGTTTCATTGTTGACTGGTGACTTGTACATCGTCATTCTGCATTCTTTATTCCCACCACATCAAGACCACTGCAATTTGTATTCTCTGTAGCAGGCAGTAGGCATGACTTCTTCAATAGCAGTACTGAAAAAAGAAAAATGTTTAGCTTTTACATTAGCAAAAAAGTTGAGAAAAGAAATGGAAAATAAACATCAGTGTTCTAGCCTGTAGAATGGTTCAGAACTAGTTTTACTGGGAAATATACATTGTAAAACTTTCATAAAGTTATTAGTGGTAGTGGTCCTGTTTTCCTTAGTTTACCTTTTCTTTTGTTAGATTTCTTAGGTAATCACATTCCCATTGGCCACTCGCAATCTTTATGTTAATGTTGCTTAGGTTGGAAAACATGCAAAAAAGTAATGAATCATTTAAATTGTGAACCCGTACTTTGTCTAATAACTTTCATCTTTAGTATACTGAGCTGAAGATGCTTTTAAAAATTGCACTTTCATGGGGCTGGTTTGTGGCTCAGCAGTAGAGCGTTCGCCTAGCACATTCAAGGCCCTGGGTTCTATCCTCAGCACCACATAAAAACAAAGCAAGAATTGGACCCTGAGCTACATCACCAGCTCCCATGCTGATTCTTAAGGTGTTTTGCGTCTTCTCTATTTATCTTAGCAAAGCTTGCTAGAGATTCCTTAAACTTACTGATCTTTAGAAATGGGAAAAGTAGGGGCTGGGGTTGTGGCTCAGCAGTAGAGCTGTTCATGTGCAAGGCCCTGGGTTGGATCCTCAGCACCACATAAAAACAAACAAAGGTATTGTGTACAACTAAAATAAATAAATATTTTTAAAAATTGCACTTTCATCAAATAATAAATCTAGAGGAATGTCTCTCAATTTTTTTCTCTTGTCCATCACATTGTATATGACATTATTTCCTAAAGACTACAAATCATAAATTTTTGAACCCATGCTTGAGTCTTAAATTACTTTACTGAGACTAGCTTTGAACATGTGATCTACCTACCTCAGCCTCTGAAGTAGCATGTGCCCTTGAGCCCAGCCCCCACCATTTTAGTGTGTTTTTATATGCCCATTCATATATATTATAGATAATACAATAAACTTTTAAATGAATTTGATGTATTTGTATTTATTGAATTCAATAAATTGAAGAAGTGATGAACTGCTTTGTGTTATTGTTCAAAATTTACTCGATATGTTCATTGGCTCCTCACAGGAGACTCCTGTGCTCACCAGAATTGAAAAACAGAAGCGCAAGGAGGAAGAGGAAGAACGGCAGATTCTCCTTGCAGTGCAGAAAAAGGAACAGGAGCAGATGTTGAAAGAGGAAAGGAAGCGGGAATTGGAGGAGAAGGTCAAGGCAGTGGAAGGTATGTAGCCCTTGTGTGCTGTCTGGAGAGGTTCCTGTGTGGGAATAGCCAAGATCAGATGAAGGTGGGATCGGATCATCATTTATTTCAGCTATTTCTGGCCATTTCTGTTTAAATAGGTCAATTGTATTCTGTTGTGTTTATATTTCACATATCTAATTCATAATATGAGTGAGATATGCTTAAGAAAGGTTCCAAATATTTTTATTTAGATAATAGCACTATTCAAGTCTAGAATATTAATATTATTAAGACAAAGTTTTCTAAGAGTCTCTACAGGGCATGGTATAATGAGTGTTTTCTTTCATTTATAGTTCAGCATAGTAAAGGAAAACAACTATCTCTCGATATTTTCTTGGATAACAGTTGTGATTTATAAGCTGAACCTGATAAATCATGTGATAATATACCATTTGGCTTGATTGAATACAGACAGTGTTTTTCTTTTCTATTGTAGTTTCAAATGAAATAGCATAGCATATGGATTTGACTTTTTTTTTTTTTTTTTAACTCAGGGACACTCAACCTAGTTCACTGCTTTATTGTAAAAACCCATAGTTTATGTAATCAATAAATTTAGCTTGTTTACATATTATGTAATTATATCTTACTTGTGAGATCTTGAATATATTTTGTTTCCACTGCTAGATTTTATTTTTTCAAGTTAATAATTATGCTTTTTGTTTATTTATGTGTTTCAGTGGGACTCTTGTTTTTTCAGTAGGTTCTTATTATAGGTACACAATTGTGGTTTCGTTTCTGTATCTGAAAAATTAATAATACCTGTGTAATGAGATTGTTCTTTAACAAATGTTTTTTGAGAACTCATTCTGTGTGGCACTGTTGTAGGTATATGGTAATGAATGAAATAAGATATTCTTATTGTAGAGTTTCAATTCCAGTAGGAAAAAGGTGGAGAATAAAACAGATAACTGTGGTTGGGTGCAGTGGTGCATACCTGTAATTCCAGTGATTCCGGAGGCAGAGGCAAAAGATCTCAAGATTAAAGCCAGCCAGCAGCTTAGCTAGGCTCTAAGCAACTTAGTGAGACCCTGTCTCGAAAAAGGGGTGATGATGTGGCTCAGTGGTTAAGCACCCCTGGGTTCAATCTGGAAACACTCCCCTACACATACATACAAACTGGAATAGGTAGTGGTGAGCTATCTGAATAAAAATAAACCAGATCTATGAATAAAGACTGCTATGATTGAAGTAACATTTAAATAAGATTATCATGAGTATTCTCTGAAGATGTGACATTGAAGTCAAGTGAATGAGGTTGTTCTGTGCATATGTGAGGTGGGGATGTGGGATGTGGAGCACCATAGGTGTCAGGAAGAGTGAGCACATATGCTCATTTGACTATTTGTAGATCGAGCCAAGAGGAGAAAACTCAGGGAAGAAAGGGCATGGCTGCTGGCTCAAGGCAAGGAGCTACCCCCAGAACTTTCCCATCTGGACCCTAATTCTCCCATGAGGGAAGGAAAAAAGACAAAGGATCTGTAAGTATTTAATAATCATATCGGTGATGTGACTTGGCACTGCACCTTGCTAATAAGCAAGCCCTCCTTTCATTTAGTATTTAAAACTGAGCTGTGTAGTAGGCAATGGCACCACCATTTCAAAGTTGAGAAAACACAGTAAGAGACAGAGGTCAGCCTGAAACTCAGACCTGACTTCAGCACTCCTCGTGCCACACAAATGGAGATGCTGAATGTCTCTTAATGCTCATTTGCCCTTCTTAGATTTTTTTGCTGTCATACTCTAGAAGCACAGAGATGCTTGTACACAAAACTCTTAGTACTCCACTCATTAACTTAATGAAATCATAACTGATGATTTATTATATACAATTGTTTCTTGAAAATGTGAAAAGAAGTTTGTACTTTTGAGAATAATAGCTTCTGGGCTGGTGTTGTGGCTCAGTGGTAGAGTGCTTGCCTAGTATGCATGAGATACTGGATTTGATCCCTGGTACCACATAAAAGTAAAATAAAGGTACTGTATCCATCTACAACTTAAAATATATAGATTTTTTTAAAAAGTAACTTCTTTGTAGTTATCCTAGGTACTGTATATCTTTACTCCTTAACTAAAAATGCAAGAAGGAAAGGAATAGTGTTCATGAACCATTCTGCTATGTGTTTTTTAATTATTATTATTATTATTTAGATCCCAAATAAATTTATGAGCCATGAATAAATCCTGCTTAAATAAATTGTAGGATCTTAAAGTTTTGTATCATTTGCATATACCCTATCATATTATACATAAGTAAAGTGATATTCCCCTTTTTCCTAAGGTGGATTATCTCCCATGTTTATATTATTTTTAGCAAATGTTATCTGTATTAAATAATAGTGTTGAGACTATTCAAGATCTTCGTGCATTTAGCTATGTCTATGGTTAAACTGAAGATAGGTTGAGAAGGTAGTCAGAATGAATACTAATGTCTTATTTTATGATTTACAGCTTTGAGTTGGATGATGACTTCACTGCCATGTATAAAGGTTAGTTCCCATTCTCAACTACTGTGTTTGTGGTGGAAGTCTTGCTGTGAGTTATTAGTCAAGTTTTCTTCTTTGGTTTTCAGTTCTAGATGTGGTAAAGGCTCACAAGGATTCCTGGCCATTTTTGGAACCCGTGGATGAATCTTATGCTCCTAATTATTATCAGATTATAAAGGTAGCCTCTGTGTCTTGCTTGTACTTTATTGTTTGTTTGCCTAGCTGTCATTCTTAAGATCAGGGTTGCTGGAGATACACCAGGCTCTTGAACAACTTGTAATGCCATTATTCTTTTGCCTTGTAGGGACTATAGCATGTTGTTGTTTATTCCTATAATATGTTATTGTTGATTATAATAGAGTTCCTTGTTCTATTTTAGATCCCCATGGATATTTCAAGCATGGAGAAGAAATTGAATGGAGGTTTATACTGTACCAAGGATGAATTTGTAAATGACATGAAGACAATGTTCAGGAATTGTCGAAAATATAATGGGGAGAATAGTGGTAAGTGGGTAAGAAATCTGTGCCAGGTGCATATCTGTTATGCCATTATATAATCAGATTTTAAAACTCCTTCTGTTAGACGCACGTTTCCTAGTGATTTTTTTTAAAGAACTATCAACAGAATGTAAACTAAAAGCTATGGCTACTACAAGCATTTCCACTATATGTGTCAGGAGCTCTCTTTTCTCCCATAGAACAGCAGAGCTCAGCAGGAGAGTAGATGGCCTTAGGTTGTTTCTCATTCTAGAGACTAGTCTAGGTTTACCTGGTCCTCTTCAGCACAAATGGGGCGAACCTAGATGGAGCCCATTCTTTTTTCGGGGATGGGGGGGCGGGGGGATAGCACTGGGGTTGGAACCTGTGCATGTGGTCCTCTTACATGTTAGACACATACTCTACCAATGAGCTGCACCCCAGCTTGTCATTTTTAAGTCATTTTGAGAAGTCAGCATAGTATCTATTTAATACTAAAGAATAAATGGCTCCAGGTACTCAAACTGGGTTATTGATGAATTAATTAAGAATGCCAGAGTTTAAAAAAAAAAGATTCAGTGATTGTATTTAATGAGTTCAGTAATTTAGCTTTAAAAATTAAATTTTCAATGGTTTGAGGTAATTAGCCATACAACTTTGAGCTTTTTATGGGTAGAAGCCATCTCTTACTCATCTTCTAGTCATAGCTCTACAGAATATGCCCCCAAAATGAGTTGGAACAAATAGTTGCAGTTTTTATTGTTAGTGGAAGAATTATCTTTTTTTTTTTTTAAAGATGTAATTTTTTTTTTTTTAGTTTTCTGTGGACACAACATCTTTATTTTATTTGTATGTGGTGCTGAGGATCGAACCCAGTGCCGCGCGCATGCCAGGCAAGCGCGCTACCACTTGAGCCACATCCCCAGCCCAAGAATTATCTTTTGTGACCTATAAAATCTATACGTGGTAGTTAGTCCTCGTCTGTTCCTTATAGAGTATACCAAGATGTCTGATAATTTAGAGAGATGTTTCCATCGGGCAATGATGAAACATTTTCCTGGAGAAGATGGAGACACGGATGAAGAATTTTGGATCCGAGAGGATGAAAAGCGGGAGAAGAGACGGAGTCGGTCTGGTCGTAATAGTGGAAGCCATATTTGGACCCGCTCTAGGGACTCTGAAGGGCCCAGCAGGAAGCAGCAGCCCATGGAAAATGGAGGAAAATCATTGCCCCCTGCCCGCCGAGCTTCTTCTTCAGGGGATGATCAGAGCAGCAGTTCTACTCAGCCCCCTCGAGAAGTGGGCACTTCAAATGGCCGAGGTTTTTCCCGCCCTCTGCACTGTGGTGGAATGCCCAGCCAGGCACCTCTTTTAAACCAAATGGTAAGGAAGAGCTAAACTTTTGTGATGATTTCTCCAAGCTAGTGAACTCATGGGAAAGTAAGGGCTATCCATTTCGCACTTCTTACAAAGTAATTATATGGATGATCTCCCCCGCCCTGCCCCATTGAATTTATTTCAAATCCTCTTCTCTTTTAGTCATTTGAATCACATATTCTCAGTGTGAGCAAAAACAGATTTTAAAAAGACTAGGCATGGTGGTATATGCCTGTTTTCCCAGCTACTAGGAGGCTGAAGCAAGAGGATTGTTTGAACCCAGGAGTTCAAGACCAGCCTGGGCAACATAGGAAGACTTCATGGAAGAGACAGAAGGATGGAGGGAGAAAGGTTAAAGCACAGAAGTACATAAGCTATGCAGTGTATCTGAGATGTTAAAATCTTATGACAGGGTGCAATGGGAGATGAAATGGGTAAAAAAGCTCTGTACAGGGGCAAAAAGGATGTAATTTTAAAAGATGGTAAAATAACATTTTGTTTTTGTTTTGTGGCACTGAGGATTGCACCTGGGGGCACTCTACCTCTAAGCTATATCCCCAGCCCTTTTTGAGTTTTGAAACAGGGTCTTACCAAGTTATCCCAGCTGGCCTCAAGCTTGTGATCCTCCTGCCTCAACTTCCCAAGTAACTGACATTAATAGACATGAATACCTGGCAAGAGACACCATTTTAATTTTACTCTGTTGGAGAGGGAACCTGCTTTAGGGTCAGGAGCTAGTTCACTCTAGGGAAGTATGTACACTAGCAAACTTTAGGGAACTCCTTGCTCTGTGCTTAATATCCTTGTCTATTTTTTTCTTCCCTCCCTTTGCTCACTGCCTCCAGAGGCCAGCAGTACCAGGAGCATTTGGCCCTCTTCAAGGATCAGAGCCCAACACCTTCTATGGTCCCTCTCGAGTCCCAGAAGCACACCCAGGAGAGCCCATGCAGCAGCATCAGGCTTTTTCCATGCAGGTAAGGAGTCACCTCAGAAACCATAGCTGCTACAGGTCCCACAGCATGTTTCAGAAATAGTGTCTTCTCAGGTTAAATTTAATTAATTATCTTCTGTGCAGAAGAGACTGTCTCTATAGGTGAAGCATGTTACAAGTGACTGGTTAACTTTGCTCACTTTATTTTTTCTGTTGCCAGCCTCCAGTTGGAATTAGTAACCACCGAGGACCCCAGCTTGGCACTCCAGAAGATAAGCAGATGTGTGGGGGGCTAACACACCTTTCTAACATGGGATCACATCCCGCCTCCTTGCAGCTTGGACAGATGAGTGGCCCTGGTCAGGATGGAAACATGTATCCCCCAGCTTCATTCCAGCCAGGATTTATTCCTCCCAGGCATGGTGGGGCTCCAACCCGACCAGCAGACTTTGCTGAGAGTTCAGAAATTCCTCCCAGTCACATGTATCGATCCTACAAGTACCTGAATCGCATACACTCTACCGTCTGGAATGGGAACCATGGTACTACAAATCCAGGACCTTTGGGGCCAGATGAGAAGCCCCACCTCGGGCCAGGACCCGCTCACCAGCCTCACGCTCTTGGTCACATGATGGATTCCCGAGTAATGAGACCATCTATACCCCAAAACCAGTGGACTAAGCAATCAAGCTTTCTACCTCATGGTGTTCCTTCTTCAGGATATATGCGACCACCTTGTAAGTCCACTGGTCATAGGTTGCAGCCACCTCCAACCCCAGCACCAAGTTCTCTATTTGGAGGGCCCTCCCAGACCCTGCGTGGGATGCAAGGAGGGGACTCTATGATGGACAGCCCTGAGATGATCGCCATGCAGCAGCTGTCCTCCCGTGTCTGCCCACCAGGTGTGCCTTACAACCCCTGTCAGCCCACTCCCTCCCAAGTACCTGGCCCTTTTCCACAGGTAGCTCATTCAGCATCAGTAAGCTTGTCAGCCCCCAAACCTGCCTTGGGCAACCCTGGGAGGATACAGGATAACAATGAAACACAAAAGCCTGAGAATGACCAAGGTAATGTATATATTGTTACTTTTATCTGACTTTTGGGTTTTTAAGCTGTAAATTATGAGTAATCTTTTCACACACAATATGAAACCATATGTAAACACATTTCCAGTCTCTTTCCTAAGCTACTTAAGTTTGAACCAATCATAGTATTCCTTTTGGTCTGAAGATCTCAGCATGATAATAATGATCATCACACTTATAGGTGCTTCCTGTGTGACATTCTTTTTGAGACTTTGATTTGTAATCATTTAATTCTCAGAAAAAGCCTTTGTAATATCTACTATTAATATCCTTATTTTTATAGATGGAAAATTTAATTCAGAAATACTAGATTATTTACTGTCTTAAGTGATAAAGAAAGATTTGAACCCTGACAAGGCTAGATAAACATTCTTCCTGTTGTCTACTGCATCTCTCATATCCTTCAAAAAAACTATCTGGAAAGTCACCATTATGAAATAAGTTTCAGTGTCTAATCATTTCTATCCTCTCCTTAGATACATGCCTGTATGTAGTAAAAATGAAGCACAGTGAGTTCTAGCAAAGCTTGAAACAGTTTCTTAGAAATGCCATTTAAGAGAAGTAAAGAGTAAACTAGAGAAGAAAAGTTAAAAAGAATCAGAATCCTTTGTGTACTTAATGCTGACTTCAAGGGTAGAAGTGTAGTATACATTTTTGTAATTTTCCTCAGATGTGAGTAGAGGGTGGAGATACTTGAACATTCATAAAAGCTAATGAAAAGTTCATGGGACATTGATGCTAGGGCTAGAACTCAAACTTAACTTTGAGCATTTCCTTCTAGAAAAGGTCCACTTTGTGAATAGCTACAGAGGAATTTTCTAATACAGGTTTCACGTGTGTCTGCAAGTCAAAGGTTTGAAATAGTATCATTCGTGACACTTTAGATACAGTCTGTCCACTAGTTGCTGAGCTTTGTGTTAATAAAAAGTATAATTTTTTTATTTTGTTGCTCAGTTTGTATCTTTTTTCCTTAAGGCCAGCTTTAGTTCACTGATAGCCTTAGGCATCTTAGTAGTTCTTTATAAGTCATTATGGGGCTGGGAATATAGCTCAGTTGGTAGAGTGCTTGCCTTGCATACATAAGGCCCTGGGTTCAGTCCCCAGCACCCACCCCACTCCCTCTCCAATACACACACAGTCATTATGAGATGGGTGCAGTGACACAGGCCTGTAATCCCAGCAGCACAGGAGGTTGAGACAGGAGCATCACAAATTCAGTGCCAGCCTCAGCAATGGCAAGGTGCTAAACAACTCAGACCCTTTCTCTAAATAAAGATAATAAATAAAATAGGGCTGGGGATGTGGCTTAGTGGTTGAGTGCCCCTGAGTTCAATCCCTAGTACAAATTTTAAAAAAAAGTCAATATGAATCTTTAATCTTGTCCTTTAAAAGTTTGTTTTTTAGAATCAGATTTTGATCTTGCTTGGACAACAACTCTGTCCTAGAAATATCATGATCAGATATGTATGTGTGTATATATAAAAACAAAGTTCCTCTGTTATTCATCATGTTAATGGTTTGCTACCATAGTGAGGTAAACAGTCTGGGGTGTAATCGAGCATTCAAGACTAATTTGATTGAATTTATTCAATTTCTCTAATATTCAAAGAATGCCTTTCGAGTTTTTTTGATGTGGGCCTCTTGTTCGAAAAAAGGGATGGGTTGTTGCTCAGAGTGTGCTCAGCATGCTCCACCTTTTGTTTGAGCACTGGGTATCTCATGCATTGGACCTTTACATTGTGTCCGTTTCTAGAACCTCTCACCTGGGTACCCATTCTAATTATTACCACGTTCTCCTTCCATAGTTCACATACACCTGCCTGGAGTCTGTAAGCTCCATATTCTTTCAGTAATGTGCCTATGATGTGGGGTATTTCCATTTTGGTGCATACCTTTTTTTTTTTTTTTTATATTTATTTTTTAGTTTTTGGCAGACACAACATCTTTGTTTGTTTGTGGTGCTAAGGATCGAACTCGGGCCTCACGCATGCCAGGCAAGCACGCTACCACTTGAGCCATATCCCCAGCCCTGGTGCATACCTTAATGTTAGATTCTACCTGTAAGTCCATGAAAGGGAGCATATAGATCCCCGATATCCTGACCTTTTCCAGGGACTAATGCTAGCTAGCTGAGGCTTGAATTGCTGTCCTCACCTCAACCCTGATCTTCCTTATTTTGCATACTTTTTATTACTACCTCCATTCGTATTGTCATTGCAGCTACTTAGTTATTTTGTTCTCCTTTTTGTTTTTTCCCCCCAGGAGAAGCTTTGCCTGGACTTGAAGAGAAACCAGCAAGCGTTGGTGCTTCAGAGGGGGTATACCTCAAACAGCTACCTCAACCTACACCTCCCCTGCAGGCCGACTGCACCAGGCAGAGCTCACCAAGAGAAAGGGAAACAGAGGCCACAGAGCTCAAAAATGACACATTGGAATCTGCAGACAACTGTAAAACAGCAAAGGGCAAGAATACCTGGACCTCAGACAGCAGCTATACCAGCCCAGCTGCCCAAGGCTGTATGAGAGACCTCTCCACAATGGCCGACAGAGGCGTTCTTCCTGAAAATGGAGTCATTGGTGAAGCATCTCCTTGTGGATCAGAGGGGAAGGGCCTTGGTGGCAATGGTTCAGAAAAACCACTCTGCCCCAGAGGCAAAACATTGCAGGAGACCATGCCCTGCACAGGACAGAATGCAACTACACCTCCATGTGCAGACCCCAGTTTAATGACAAGCCCTGTAAGCCAGTTTTCTCCCTTGTACATGCCTGGCCTAGAATACTCTAATTCAGCTGCACATTACCACATCAGTCCAAGCCTGCAAGCCTTGGGCCCTATGATGGGGGGGAAATCCTCGGTATCGCATCCTCAGCATTTCTCTCCCAGGGCCTTTCAGTCTAACAATCCTCACCCTGGGATCTTTCCCCGATATCGCCCTCCCCAGGGAATGAGGTATTCCTACCAACCACCACCTCCACAGCCTTCCTACCATCATTACCAGCGAACTCCTTATTACACTTGTCCACAGGGCTTTTCTGATTGGCAGAGACCTCTCCACCCTCAGGGAAACCCAGGTGGCCCCCCAGCAAGTCATGCCCCTCACCCGCGGCCCCTTTTCTCAGATAAAAATTCCATGGCTAATCTGCAAAGCTGTGAGACACTGAGTGCTGCCTTAACTTCCCCAACTCGAATGGATGCAGTGGCTGCTAAAGTTGTCCCACCTGACAGACAGAATCCTGGTCCAGAGGAAGAAAAGCTTGATGAATCTATGGAGAGGCCAGAGAGTCCCAAAGAGTTTTTAGATCTGGACAACCATAATGCAGCTACCAAGCTACAGAGTTCTTTGTCAGCCAACGAATATATTTATGGAACTCCTCCTACACCTCTGAGTTCAGGGATGGGATTTGGTTCACCTCCTTTCCCACCTCATGGTGTGATGCTACAAACGGGGCCTTCTTATACACCACAGCGGCCAACCAGTCATTTTCAACCCAGGCCATATTCTCCTGTGGGTGCTCACCCACCCCACCATCCAGGGCCTGCCCAGCCTAATGGCCTCTCTCAAGAGGGTTCTCTCTATCGCTGCCAGGAAGAGGGCCTGGGCCACTTTCAAGCAGTAATGATGGAACAGATTGGCACTGGAAGTGGAATAAGAGGATCCTTCCAGGAAATGTACAGACCATCAGGGTAAGAATGTGTTGAATGTTTTTCTTATTCTCTAAAAGAATAACAAATGTTAAACTATGCCTATCAGAGGAAGTTAAGCATGTGTGATGTTAAAGTTCCAGGTCTATCCAGAATTGAAACAAGTCAGATACTCTCTCCTAAGACTTCCTCAATATATTTGTATTGGTACCACTTTTAAAACCCATTGAGGGCTGGGAATGTAGCTCAGTAATAGAGAGTTGCCTACTATTTGTGAAGTCTTTGGTTTAAACCCCAACAGGAGTTGCAGGACGGCTCAGTGAGGTGATATGTCATCTGGGAACATTTCAAAATAAATGATGTATAAAATATGGGCACTTGAAGTTATGAAGTATAGTTATTAAACTAGTACCTTTCAACTTAAAAACCAATGTGCCCCTCTCCCCAACCATCTTCTTATCATTACACCCTCTCTCCCTATTCACATTTTGCCGTATTTGCTTTATACATCTTATTTTGTTTTGTTTCTGAACCAGGATCCAACCAAGGCTTATGTATTTATGTTTGGTTTCTTAATTTATGACGATTATGCTGTCTTTGTTTTGTTTTTCAAAGAGTCCAGGCCTTGTGTAGTGTGTCCCAGATTCTGGATTCAAGTCAGTATTTCCTTTTTTAAGATTAATCACATAGCCGGTGTGTGAAGAAGTCTACAAAGAGGGATATCTTGTTAAATAATGTAGACCTTAGAAATTTTTCCTTGGAGCCTGGTGCAGTGGCATATACCTGTAATCCTAGTGGCTCAGGAGACTGAGGCAGGAGGATCACAAGTTCAAAGCCAGCCTTAGCAATGCTGAGGCACTAAGCAACTCTGTCTCTTTATTTAGAGACCCTGTCTCTAAATAAAATACAAAATTGGGCTGGGGATGTGGCTTAGTGGCCAAGTGCCCCTGAGTTCAATCCCTGGTACCAAAAAAAAAAAAAAAGGGATGAATCACTTTTGTCAGGAATATGCTTCGCATGGGTGTACTTCCTATTATGTTATGCTCAGATATATATAATGTCATTTTGTCCCATTATTGATGATTCCAAGTTGGATCACCTGGGTAATTAAGCCATCCCTTCATGATTAAAGTATGTTTTCCTTTGTAATTAATACATCTTCATTAATTTTTACCTGTTCTTTTCCTGTGGCTACAGAATGCACATACATCCAATCCAGTCGCAGTCCTCATTCCCAAAGACGCCAGCACCAGCAGCATCACCAGAACAGCTGCCACCACATAAGCCCCCAACACTTCCTCTGGATCAGGTAAGAATCACCAAAATTTATAGCTTTTCTTATTCCTCAAAATGTGGGAAATATATATGACTTTCATATCCCTTCTGCAAAATGCTTGGGACCCAAAGTCCCAAGTTCAGAGTTTTTCAGATTTTGGAATATTTGCATAGGGTTTACCAGTTAGGCATGACTAATCCAAGGTGCTCCAAAATATAAAACTTTCAGCATTATGTCCATTTTCTTTTTAATTTCAGCCTGGCATATAGCTCAGTGATAGCACTTGCTTATCATGTGCAAAGTTTGGGTTTGCTCCCTAGCACACACTGAAAAAAAAAAAACTTTGGAGCTTAGAGCCTTTCATATTAAGGATCCTCAATCTGCACATGGTCTCATTGCCATTCTGAGACTGCATTTTTAAAAATTATTTCCTTTTTGCCATGTTGATAATAGAACCCAGGGCCTCCCGCAGTTAGAAAAGCATTCTAACACTGATTTGTATTCCCAGTCCCTGAGTGTTGTGTTTTTTGTTTTGTTTTGTTTTGTTTTGTTTTTGATACCAAGGATTGAACCCAGGGGCACTTAGGGTCTTGATGAGTTGCTTAGGGCCTCGTGAAGTAGCCAATAAGGATGGCTCTGAATTCAAGCAATCCTCCTGCTTTAGCCTCCCAAGCTGTTAGAATTACAGGCATGTGCCACTACACCCCGCTCCTGAGAAAATATTTTAAGGTGTCTTGTTACTTCATTTACAATAGGCAGCCATGTGAAACAAATCACTCAGGCCCTGATCCCAGTCCTTGGTATTGGGGAAGATCGGCTACAGAGTCCTCAGATGTTGCTTATCTACTATTTCCACATACCCCTCTTTCATAATCTTGTGTGGTAACCAGCTGTTTAAGGAGTATTTATTTAAGGAGTATCAATTTTTCCACACTGCCTTCCCACATTTCTTTTGCCAAAAATTGCTTGTTTAATCCTTCCCACCTATTCCTTTGTGTGAGACTGGTCAGTCAGGTTTGGAATAATTGTGGCTACCTTTGAGTGCTGCTTCTCTCTCACACACTGCTGAGAGTTTGTGTGTGCAAAAACTATCTCAGTCTTATCTGTGGCCCCATAAACAAACTGAGCAGCTGTAGTAGCACCTTCTAGTATGCACAAAGTTCTATAGCTTCTAAGTATAGGGGCTCAGGTCCAAATCAGAGATCTAGTACCTGAAAGTCAACCCTCTGTAGCTGTGTAGGCAAGCACATACAACTCTTTGATATGTTTAATTTTCTTAGACAATTGATACAATTTAAAATTTTTTTCTTATAAATGTCTTTATTCTATTCCTCTCAGAGCTAGTCCTAGGAGGAAATTGCCCCCAAGGAAGTGAAAAGCTGCACATGAAGACAGAACATGGAGGATTTGGGGAAATGATCCTTGCCCATCTCTATCCCAGTCACCCTGCTGTGCCCCTTCACAGTGAATTACACCTTGCCACCAAGAGCTGGAGCCATTCCTGGGCCTTAGAAGCATACTCACTCCATAGACGACTGACACAGAGCTTGCAGAGGTGCTGGGTCAGGGATCACTTGCACAGCTGACTGACAGTCAGGAAGATCAAGTGAACCTGGAGTTCATGCTGACTTCTCCAAATTCTGAGACTGTCCTTCAGGGAAAATCACTTTAAACTTGGGTGGGGGGCATACAAAATAACAGAGTGGTGCTTTTAAACTTTCGTGAGCAGCTAATCTCAGGTATATATTGAGGAAGGGACTACTTGTAGTATTAATGTTTTCAGAGCTGGGTCCAGTTTACACAATTTTCATGTTGCCTTTTAAAATAATTTTTGTTGGTGAATGTATTGTACATAAAGTGGGTAGGGTGGGTGGGAATGTGAAAGAAATGGAAGTCCTAACTGGTGGGCTCACAGCACTGGAGTGGTCTCTGTCTGTTTACAATCATGTCACACTCAATGCTTTGGGGAGCTGGAGAAGAGGGTAGGAAAGGCTTCAACTTGTCATATGTCAATAACTGTTTCCATGGTGGCTGACTGGCCCTTCACAACTAAAGACCTTCTTTCCAGTCAACCTCAGAGAGTGTAGTTGTACCTGTCCTCCTTATTGTTCGTTTCTTAGTTTGGGGACAGAGTGCTCTCCTGTGGCCCACCGGAAGCTTCAACCGAGACGACAGGCTCCTTTCACTCTGGTGGCCAAATCTTGGCCTTGGGAAAATGGTGTCCCTTCCTGATTTGCCTCCAGCCCTACAAGATAGCTGCAAACCAGTATCAGGAATTGGGATCACTAGAGTGCTTTACTCATTAGAAGACAAATGAACATCTTCACAGGCTTGTCGGGCTGTGATCTAGAAGGCATTACACAAGCTTTCTGGCACAAATCACGTTTTGTGAAAGTGACTACTCAGGTTTGTATATGTTAGTCTCAATAAAGAAATTGCACAGGTCTGAATAGAGAATATGTATTCTATAGTGTTACAGTTTGAATTTAGGAATATTTCAGTATATATAGTTTTTACTCGTTTTAAATGAATCATAGTAAAATCAGCCATTGTGATTTTAAATAGCTATCAAGGACAAGTTCTTGGAAATCATTTGTTGTTATCTGAGGTAGGAAACAATTTTACAGTATTAAATTACTTTTATTACAGTTTTAGGAGTTACACTGGATTTCTCGTGTTTAGCATTCTGTATTTTATGTTAGCTGAGATGTCACCAAAGTTAGGACCCATGAATATCCCATAAAGAAAAAAGCTAAGAAAACACCCTGAAATTACAGGTCTTTGTAAAGAATAGCATAATTTAAGCATGCTTTGAGGATAATAGAAGAGTCTTCATAAAATATTAATCTGTCCTAGTTTCTTATGTATTCACTTGTGGGTGGAGTCAGTAGAGCCTTTCCCTTCAGTTTCAGCATCTTTGATAAAACTGTAGTATTTATAGTTTGCTAAACAGTGTGCTCAGAGGGAAAGGAAACAGATTGGAAACATTCAGGTTAAAGAGACTGAACCGAAGACATCTAGTAGAATGGAAATTCATATCAGTAAGTGAACTAAGCTGGTGGTGTTGATTAGGGCTTAGGCAGAGTTGAGGGTGCGAGGGGACAGAACACAGATGCCTCTGATATATGATGCAAAAAAACACCAACTTTTCTTTAACAGACTTTCAGTTTAACTGTGGTATGTTTGCAAGTGGATTGCATCATGAGGTTGAGTTCTAATTTGATCCTTATACTTATCAGAAATCTAGCACTAAGAAGAGTCAAGAAGTTAGAAGATATGTGGATGGGCTTCAATCTGTCCTTGAGCTTATGTAAGCTAACATGGTCAAAAAATTACGACTTCAGTTTCTGTGTTTGCAAAAACAGGAAGGAGGAGAATTAATTGGTGTGGGGCTGGTTAGGCCTGGTCTGGGCTCAGAGCATTCTGACTTCTCTTTAGGATTGTGGTCACTATAGGGCCTCTGCCATGGTGTTAAGCATGCTGCTTGAGGTGACCATCCTCCTCCTTCCCCCACTTCCAAATACCTGTTGCTAGAGAGATGCTGTGAACAGTGGAGGGGAGGGTGTCTGTAGTAAAACCTTTTAATCTCCTTTTTTAGAGATGAGAGAATTTAAGGAAGAGAATTTAAGGAAGGGCTATAGAAATTGAACTACTGTATTGAATTATAACACTGTGAACAAGAGCATCAGTGAAATGGTCAGCCTTGTTGCATCCTTTGTGGAAATTGGTTGTACATTACAGGGCTAAGTGCTTCATCCCTTATCTGGTATGTTCCCAGCTTTTACAGGTTTCTGGAATGCAGATCTGCTGAAAGCTGCCCACAACTGCCAGACTGTGGGAAAACACATGACTGAGCTGCTGTGAACTCCTCCTCAACTCACCCGCAAGCAGGATCTTTTGTTCTCGCCTTTCTTCCTCCTCTAGCACTTCACTTTCCAAGTGTCTTAAGTAGATGCAATGTCTTAAAACAGATGCAAATACATTTGCCATCTTTTCAAATAGGGAAATGATGGTTATATGATAGTTAGAAAGGCATGTGTATGGGTGTCCTAAAAGGTTTAGGCTTGGACACTTCACCTTGTAGGCCACTGTCACCTTGTCAGTGTGACTACTCTCAGTGGTCTCCAGGAGAGCATATCTGAGACCTATGAATAATTAGAAATACCCTTGCTCCTGTTTAACCCTCATGACTTAACTTTATTAGGCTTGTTTATAAGTTACAAACTGTTTCTCCAAGGCCTAAGAGAAATAAAAGATCCAGAAAGAAAATTAGGGCCTTTGGAAGGTTTCTAGGTTATGTATGATTTTGTTTTATTGAAGTTTGTGGAAAACCTTAAGGCCTTTAGTCTACATTCAGTCTGAGCTCAGCTTTAAATGTCAGTTTACTCTAGCCTTTCCCTTGAAAGTGCTTCTTGTGACTAACCATTTGGTATCATTATCCTGTGATGTTTTTCTGACATGTTGTTATTACCATTTCTGCAAATAATATACTGCTTTTAAGACCTAATTTGAAATTTCACAGGAAGCCTCAATTTAGAGTCCGAAGGCAAGGATAATTTCGTGTCAGATTCCTGGCATGTTTCCAAGAAACTCTATTTTTCAAGAAATGCAAGCCATCTGGTTTGCTAGCATGATTTCCCCTTCTGTGTTTCTCTCTTAGTTCACCCCTTGGCCAGATTCTTCAGGGACTCCTATTGTGGGAATCAGTTCCATGTATCAGTGTAGAGTTCAGTCTTGGATGTTTCCAGGATATGATGTCTCAGCAGATAGCTCTTTGTTTGACAGATTCTGCCAGGATGTTAGAATTTGGGTTGTGCATGTGGGGGTGTTTATTCCTGGGCTTGCATCACTGCTTAGGAACTACAGGTGTAATTGAGACTTGCTAGGTGAGAAGACTGGCTCCCATTTCTTGTTTCAGTGGGCCAACCCACCATTCCGCCGTAGGACTCTGAGCCTTACCTTTCTATCCCTTTGGGAAAGCTGAATTGGGGTGAACTTTGCTGCATCCCCTCTCTCTCAGTTAACTGTGACACAAGCTTTGTCTCCTGGCTGGATGATGAATCCTCTCTGTGCTAGACACACATGGAGGGGCTTGGGTTGGACTTTTTACCTGGTCTCTTTCTCTTGTTCTCACTTAACTCTTAAGTAGAAATGCCTGATAACCAGCAATTGTCCTGCATGTGTTTTTGAAAGGGTTGGGTGGGTTGGGAACAGGGGTGTGGATATTGAGTAAGTTATTCAAACACTGACCTCTCATCAGTAGACTGTGGCCCCTTCTTTTCCCCAGCGGGGTCTTGGGTACCTCACTCACATGCCTGGGAGTCCCATCCAGGCTCCACCAGCCTGCTGCGCAGTGTCGGGCAGTCTTTGCTCCCGCTGTGAAAGCGAAAGCCGTGTGAACTTCCCTGGCCAGTACTGGAAAGGGGAATGCTATTTATTTTTATATTGTGTATATTTTGTCGTGGTCTGCTGATTGATTCCCTGTTTGACTGAGAGCGACATTTACCTCAATAGTTAGTTCAATATTGTGTGTTGGATAATTTTTTAAAGGAACTTTTTAAAAAGCTTTTTGATCCTTGGAGGTCTGTAGATTTATTTCCATATGAACTGGTTATTTTGTATAAAGTACATTCTTAAAATAGCAAAGCTCTGGTGTGTGTCCATGTGTCACTTTTATCATCAGGACAAATTCAGACTCCTATCATGACAGAGGTTTGAATCAGGCCACAATGCCATCACTCCACAGTGCTGTCCTACATCTCAATTCTGATTCGTTAAGAATCCAAGAAGAGATTGGGTGTGGGCGTGGGCCCACTGTAGGTGATAGTGGTGCATTCTCTGCACAGAGCTTAAAACCACCTGAAGATTTCCAAACAACCTCAGGAACAAAAATGCTCATTGGAGTTGGTTCTATAAACATCCATTAGGTGCTTTCACACACCACCCTCACATCGCCTCCAGCAAAGTTATGTACATGTGCTGTATTAATTTTAATCTCCTTACAGAATTAGGGGTGAAGGAAGGGAGCAACAGATCTGACTTGATAATGGGGAGCCAATGAGCAGCTCTAGCCTGAAGCCCTCAGGGAACTATAAGTGGCCAGAAGTGGGAGCTACCAGCATGAGTAAGCAGATGCTTTTATATTTGCCCAGTTTTGTTTTATTTTTCCAGTTTATGGGAGGCTTTCTGCTGGGAGGCAGGTGCAGAGAAAGGAAGTAACCATATTTTCTAACTAAGGAGTTGCATCTCACATAATTTTTGAAACAAAAATTTCAGCCTTGAAGTCATTAGGAAGTCCCACATCTGACATATGATGTTGATCAATTTCTTTAATCTCACTTGATATTCTTAATGTTTCTCTCTGCATTGGAAGAGCAGGGCAAGTGGAACTTTTGCTCTGGCCTGGCTCTGTTCACTTCCATGCTCATCACTGGCTGAGACGCCCTGAACACCTCTATTCCCTCTGCACATTAGTGTCACACCCTTAAAACACATGTAAACTTTGCTTTCCTACTTTTGTATTCTCTAGTGGAATTCCTCCTGCCATGAAATAAATTCCTCCAAAGAAAGCCAGAAACTGTTGACAGTTTTAGCTAATGATAAGCTTTAATATTGTATCTTTCATTAGTCAACTAGGTTTCAAAATTTTAATATAGTAGGTGGAGATGATCTTCCTCAGTTTTTGGAATTATTATTTGACATTAACACTTGTTAAGCTCCATGGGTAACATTTTGCACAAAGCCTACACCATGAGTGGCCTTCTTAATATTGGAACATAAAAAGAAAGCCAGTGTGGTGAGATTTGGGGAAGAACAGAAGCTGTAATTGCTCAT